CTAAGTATCGGAGAAGACGAGAAGAAGGGTTTAACAGAGAGTGAGCCGGTCTCTCTTCCGTATTCGGAGGGTTTTGGGTTTAAGGTAAACCGTACCGGTTTTAATTTCTACGATCTCCAACCCAATTCAATTTGCTGTTCCCTATTCCACATGCTTATTATATTGGATGAAATTCTCCTAACAACACTCCAATTACTCCATTTATTTTTTTATAAAATGATCTCTAAAATCTTCTTATATTTTTTCTTTTATACTTAAATAAATTTTAAAATCAATTTCTGGAGCTAACGATAATTAAATTTTGATTTAGGTAAGTATTTAAACTTATCCAACTGAAGGTATGAAGTTCCAATACTTCATCCGTTTTAATTAAATTTCATTCTAATACTTTTCACAAACTAAAAAATAGTTAAATTATTAAATTATATCATTATTTGACTATTAAATTAATTTAAAACAGAATATTTTGACTTGAAAAAAAAAAATAATAATATTGCGAGATTAAAATATGTTTTTAGGCTCGACCACAACATGACACATTCAATGAATACGCTTAAAAGTGTTTTCTAATCCTTCAGGTATTGACTCATCTGCGGTTACCTATACATTTTTCTGCGGTGAAGATCTTCTCTTTTCTTCTTTATGTTCTCTTTTTTTCAGTGTCTTTTATAAGAAAATCTTCTCCTTATAGGTCAAACTCCACCACTACCTCTTCTCCTCCAAATCTCTCAACTACCAAGACTTCATCTAACTATATTTAAAATCTATATTAACTAAATTGTAGTTTATAGAACTAAAAGAGCTTTTTTTTTTTGTTAAAGAGTAAAAGACTTAAAGAACATATTCGGCAACAAGTTTATCATTCTATTGATTCATAACTAGTTGATTTTCCCGCGGATAAATTATTTATATAGTTTTATTTTTAATTTTAATATTTAAAAATGTGAGAGATATAGTTCTTTTGATTTTTATTATAAACATTGTTATTGATTCTTTTGTTGTTAATTTTTTTGTCAATAATATCGTTTTTATTAATAATATAAATATCAGAAATTTAGTTTTACCTTTTAATTATTTATATATGTAAACATGTTAAATTTGGTTTGTCCGAATGTCTTAAATAGAATTTAGAATACAAATAAATTATTTAATATTTTAAAACATTAAAATACATAATCATACAAATTATAAATGAAACACAAATTAAAAAAAAATGTTGCTTTCGAAATAAGAAATGTTTAATACTTTCAAATTGTCTTGTGTTAAATAAAAACATTTCAAAAGAATGTTGTTGTTATAAACTTGGGAAGTTTTTTTCACAAACATATCAAAATCTCTTTTAAAAATTTGGTAAGTCTTCATATTATTTTCAAAAAGAATATGTATTCTATAAAAATGTTCTATAATTTTATTATTACAATAATCAATTTTTAAACTATTTTAAATGAGAAATCAAATTTGTATATAATTTTAAAAGAAAAACGAAAATTTGATAATATATTGATTAGAAACTCTTTTGATTTATTTATGGTAACAAATATAAATTTAGTTGTAGAAGATTTTGTTATTGATTCAAAATTGTCATGTCACAATTGTTTTAGTAAAAATGATTGTAGAGATGACACATAAACATCTTCTCACAAATCACTCTCACAAAACAAATCACCAGTCTCGGCAATCCCTCGAAATTTCATGTTAGTTTCCACTTAATCCAAATAGTCTACGATATTTGCGGTGCTAATATAAGGCAACTCATTTAAAGAAAATTAGCAACCACGATAAGTAAACGTTTACATTTTCCGAATATTATAAATTGATTATATTATAACTCTTTCTGTATTCATGATCAGATTCGTGTAATCTTGAATCATAATAAACGTCAATAAAAGAGAACGCGTGATTTTATAGTAATATGCTTTTATCATTTGTCCCTTAAAAGACGGCTAATATGATGTTGAAATTGTTGTTTTCATGTAATGATGAATATTGTCTTCGCCGGTCTATATGCACTTATAGAAAGATAATTATGACTGGAAAATGATTAAAAGATATCGTATTTGTTGGGTATAAGATGTT